GATGTTGCCAGTAGCCTCCTGGTTGTGTAACGTTCCAAACATTTTGGTTTTCTTAGCTAAACCTTATGGTGCTTTGATTTCAAACAGTCTAAGTCCATCTCAAAGTTGATGAAGACCTTTCATTTCAAACAGTCTCAATCCCTCTCAACGTCGATGAAGACCTTCCATTTCAAACAATCTAAATCTCTCTCAACGTTGAGGAAGACCTTCCATTTCAGGCAGTCTAAATCCTCTCAACGTTGATAAAGACCTTCCATTTCAGACAGTCTAAATCCCTCTCAACGTTGATAAAGACCTTTCACATTTGTTTATGCCCTAAATATTTCAAGCAGAGGAGGTCGATATCCTGCTAATATATTTATGATGGATTTGCGAGCTTGTTAGCTTTCTCTTTTATCTTTATACATGTATGCTCTGACACAAACGCCCAAGTGATCAAATTACCATGTAGTTTTAATGCTTTCTGCCACACTATTCATCTGGGGGCCAACCACTCTGAATTTGACTTACATACATTATGTCGGTGGCATATATTATTTGTTTATTTTATAGCTTCCAGTTCCATCCTCGTACTGCTTGTGAGAATCTTCATGGTCCTCCAGCCTTATGCAGAATATTGTTGTTCCACGAGACGTTGAACACTCAACAAGCTCTTCGCTATATGTGGTGTACGAACCATCTGTGGCTAATGATGACAGCTGACTGTCCACCATGGTCTTCAATTACGTGCTGACAGTCGTTTTCCGCTTCACCCTCTATTCAATCTTTACTGGCAGATATAATAGAGCCTTAATGGGAGTAAAGGAATTAAACTCTATGATCAGTCTTAAACAGGTGTTTTCTATATTTTCAATCTTATCTAGCTGTTTAGCACTCACTCGTACTGATCATTAGTAGTGTACAATTAAGGATACGGTGTGAAGGGTTTGGTAAAACGTAAGCAGGTGATGTTCTTCAGCTCTGTGAAAGTTGAGATCAGGTTAGTACAAGGATGAAGCAATAAAGACGTTGCACAGACATCATAATAATCTTAGAGATTCTAAATACATACATATGTGTGTGTGTGTGCGTGTACTCACATCCTGCTGACTGTTTCTATAATGTTTATATAACATATGCTGTAAACTTAAGTTGAAGGTTTGATGGTTTAACATGATCCCATTATGATAAACTTTTTTCGAGTGTAAAAGTACGTCTTATACATAAAGGCATCAAAACAAAACTATATTCTCAGTGAAGTATATTTCTAACGCAGATTGAGCTAAAAGCACCGTACATCTTTGTAACTAAGAATATACTAGAAAGTTATACTGACAGAAACTGTACTCAGAAGTATTGTATTTTTTTAACAGAGATTATACTAAAAAGCACTGCAAATAAAACATATGTATTTTATATGATATCATACAACATTTGTCATTTCAGAAACGAACTCGAATATTTTGTTTCCTGATGTACTAAAACTTCTATTTACAATAATGGGAGAATGTAAATGTTAACATGGAGCTACCCACTCTAAAAGAATTCTACAGAAGCCCTTTATAAGAAATAAAACCCACATACGTTTATATAGGAAACGACTTTCAAACCAAAAAGAAAAGAGAACATAAAATGAAACAATATTTTCTAAGTTAAAGAGAAACTGTTAAAAGCAAAGTTCTTAGACGTCTTTGCGTAAGATACTTACCGTGTATGCAGGATATTTACGAGGGTAGGATTACACTGAAGAATAATTAACAAGAGCTACCTCAAGCATTACCTACGACATTTATCTTTCAGTCTCATTCCCCCTTTCACTACACAGAATAAATAGGTAAATCTTCATCACTGTGGAAACATTACCTTAATAATGCAAAGATAATCAGTTAGTGTGACATTTTCTGTAGCATTCTTAAGGTCTGCATTCGAGCTTGTAGATGAATCACTCTGCATTACAATATGTCATTACTTAGTGTCTTAATATATATTTGGTTTATCATGCTATCATACTAAGTTATATTAACAGTCAGTAAACTTTATGTAGGTACAGTGAGGGCTAATTTCATTTATAAGAATGATGTTTCATTTCCATGTTGTCCTTGGAAATTATTCCATCGTCGATCGTACTCAACCCGATGGTCATGATTATACACTATCATCCAACACCACATTTTCCATTGTAACAAGCTTCTGCGAGGTCAATGTCACACCATACGTCTTGAGAAACTCTTCACAGATCGACCCTTTAATGTACTTGCTCGACAACTAAAGGTATGAAAGTTTCATTAAAGTTATATGAACTTGACAGGTGTAGCCGAATTGGATTGCTGTGATTTAATTTCTTTAGTCACCTTTTGCGTGTAACTTTGCGCGAAATTCAAAACAAATCTTTCTCGGGAAAACAGCCGTTGATTTTGAATTATGGTTGGAAGTTTCGCAAACGTAAGATCCTTGTTTAAAATGTTGTTAAGGGTGCGATGAGATGTGTCCCGCTTTAATGCAGTGGTCTTTTGGATCATGTTATGAAGTTAGATGTAAGGAAACATCGATTGAAGTGGGGAGAGTGTGAGAAAGCAGTCGGTCTTTAGTCAATCTCTAAGAAATTAAGGGAATTACAGTACTCTAACTCATTAGAAAATTGTTGGAATGAGCGGTTACCTCGGCTGCCTTTCTAGTTCAGCCGGTATGGAGACTACAATCCTGCTATGGTTATGTAACTTTATAATCTGATATACGAGAAATAGGTGCAAGGTCAAAAAGAAAGGGACTGGATCAGTGTGGGCTTAAGAAAGGAGTATAAAAAAACAAGAGTTCAAAGAAAATAAAAAGACTAGTCTAAATAAAGTTAACAAATAAGAGAAGGGAAGGCAAAATGCAAGTGGTAACAAAATGGTGTCAGGAGTGGGATTCATTAGTCGTTAGGAATCGAAACCCAACAGTGAAAGAAGAGTTTGAAGTTGGAACCACACCAACAAAAACCAAGGAGAAAAGTCAACTGGATGAAGCAGTGGAGTCGGAAATGAGAGTAGGTTTCCTTTTTTATCTTGGTTTTGACAGCGATTCAGTTAATTCTTACTGACTATAAATTGTGTAGTTCATTGTTTAAGAGTAGAGAATTAACGCTAGCATGGAAGAGAATTGGAAATCACTGACGGAAGGTTTTCACCCGTAACCATAGCTCTAATTTTGACGATGATGAAGTTGCTCTGGATTGGTCTTGTTGTTTGATGTTTGCATAGATCAACCTCATGGAGATATGTAATTACAAACGATAGCAAACCTCACAGATATCAATATATGTCACCCTAGTGAGAAATATAATTCATACAGATAATTAGACTGTCTTCAGAGAAATAAACCACCAACATATATATATATATATATGTAGTTCTCGAAGGAATTTGACGTTACAAAAGCGTGAAGAAATAAACGTCACAGGTACAAACAGCCCTTTAGGAAAAATAAATCTTGAATGATTATATACCTCCCAATGGAAGAAAAACACTTCACGTCTTCTGTTTTTAATTTTAATATTAACAGAAAAAATACACAAAATGTCATAGCTCTAAAATCACTACAATAAAAAACACGTTTTAATATTAGGATTTTATGAAATTAATAATATTATAATTATATACGTATTTTGAATAATTAGGAAGAGAAAACGATCAATCATTTTCAAGTTAAGTGAAAGCTTTATACTCGTGAAGTCAACGTGTGTTACTTAAGTTTTTCTAAGATGAGGCTTGTATTTTGTAGAGAGCGGAGGGTTGCGTGTGTATTCTGATAACATTAGAAAAACAAACGTACGTGTGTCTTGTAGAGGGAGAGCCGTTGCGTGTGTATACTGATAACATTAGAAAAAACGTACGTGTGTTTTGTAGAGGGAGAATCGTTGTGTGTGTATACTGATAACATTAGAAAAAACGTACGTGTGTTTTGTAGAGGGAGAATCGTTGCATGTTTATACTGATAACATTAGAAAAAAAAACGTACGTGTGTTTTGTAGAGGGAGAATCGTTGCATGTGTATACTGATAACATTAGAAAAAAAACGTACGTGTGTTTTGTAGAGGGAGAATCGTTGCATGTGTATACTGATAACATTAGAAAAAAAACGTACGTCTGTTTTGTAGAGAGAGAATCGTTGCGTGTGTATTCTGATAACATTAGAAAAAACGTACATGTGGTTTCTAGACGGAGAGTCGTTGCATGAGCATTTTGGTAATTTTGGAAAAACTTATGTGTGCTTTGTAGAGAGAGGGTAGTGTTTAAATATATGACTAGTTTGTGAGAAAGGCACTGAGTGGACACATCTAATAACGTTAGAATAAATGTGTGTGTATTTTGTGGAGAGAGGTGTTAATGTGTATATATATATATTTGTCTGTAGTTAAGCACAAAGCTACATAATGGGCAAACTGTGCACCTGTGCTCTGCCCACCACGGGTATCGAAACCCGGCTTCCAATGTGATAAGTTCGCAGACATACCGCTGTGCCACTGGGGGGGGGGGGTCGTATATGTCTGATAACGTTACAGTAAACGTGTGTGTGTATTTTGTGAAGATAGACGTCAGTATATATATATATATAAGAACATATGTATATATATACCTGGTAACCTTAAAACAAAGTTACGTATAATTTGTGAAGAAAGGCGCTATCTGATATTAGTAAACACATGTGTATTTATCAGACAAAGGTGTTCCGTCTACATTTTGATAATGTTATAATGGAGAACGTGCCCATATTTTGTAGGAAAAGTGTTAATGATGCAAAAACTAATTATTTAAAATCAAATGTAAGTTTATTTTGTAGATATAGCTGTTATACGTGCATATATAATAACAGTATGTATTTGTTTTTAGAAGTTTTACTTTTATGATAACATTTATACAGCAATGGAAAGCAAAATTGGGGTGTTATTTAAATATTTCATGAAAAACTGTAAGCTAGTGAACTTATTTTTTCATTAAAATTCATTGAAGACAAATAGTTCTTTTTTTACATATCCCAATTTATTAATTTCTTTTAACTGACATACATGAAAGATGTGACCGAAGAAATAGATATGTACATCATCCACAATTTTAAGTACGAATCTTGAACAAAACTGTTCGTTCATGACTTTGAAAAACTTTTTTTTTGCAATAAATCTAACATTTTGGTTATATCAAGTTTCCGCTAACTATTCTAGTAATGGCAATGATCAGTTCTCATTTGTTGACAATAAAAACAACGATATATATATATATGTATGTGACACAAACATTTAATAGTGTGTTCATTAACTTAGTGAACAGAACTGAATACTGTATAAATTCATCTATGGGCAACACTGTCTTCGAACAAGAAGTATTATTTAATTTATTCACACAAAACAAAGCAAAAGAAATAAAAACTACGTCATAGTACTATAGGTTTAATTATAGATTACGTGCTATGATAATATACAGTCACAACTACGTACAAAATGCCTTTATTTTCACCGTCCGCCGCTCGGAAGGCACACACACTACTGGTACTGGGTATATTTGGTTCCAGTTGTCTCATCAAAGCTGTTTCACTGGTTTTTTCATTCCATTAGTTCCTCCACCTGTAAGCAAGCTGATCGAAGCAGAGATCTCTCTATTTTTCCTTTTTTCACCGACTCAGATACTTCCACTTCACAGATCTCGGGCTAAAATAAACATAAACAGTAACTCTCGTTATGTTATGAATACGCACACTGAATAAACAGATTTTAATAGAATTAAAAGAGATGACCGGTCTGTGGATCGCAAGGTCCGAAGTTCAAGCCCGCGATATGTCGCTGCCCACGCTCTGTACATTCATCTGTGTGTACATTATAAAAATGACAGCGAATACTGGTATTTATTTAACAACAGCCTGGTAAGCGGAGGATGATACTCACTAATTGCCTTCCCTCTGATTAACAGGTCTGAATTAGAAATAGCTATACGTGAACCTTGAAGTATCTGACCTGGCTACTTAGCTCATGCAAACATGGAAAATAGTTGTGTACAGTGAAGTCGTCTTTCTGTCAGAGGACGAGGTCAAAGGTCAAGAAATATTGGTATCCCACAATTAGTACTGTAACTTAACAGTAATTAATATAAATAAATAAAAATCATGTATATAGATAATCATATACACTTTCCTAAAGCTGGTGATATGGATAAACAACAAATAGAATAATTCTACAGAGTGAATGAGCTGTACATAAAGTCCATAAACAATTAAAAGCTATAGATGTTTTCAAAATGCTAAAAATAGGTAAATTATTTATTTAATGCACTTTGAAGGATGCGTGTTGTGTTTGCTATATTATACGTTATTTTTCATAACATAAAAAAGGTTTATTAAGACTGTACTATATTCAGGTTTAAGGTTCTCCTTTTTGGTCTAACAAGACTGTAACATTGTGTGTAACTCGTTAATATACTTTTAAGACCTATTGCGGTTATTTTACTTACACGTAAATGCGAGGACTTAGGAAATATTAGGTTTACTTAGAACATTTGAAGTATTTAAAGTGCAGCTTCAGTAACAGAATTAGACAAATCATCTGTCTATAGACAACAAGGTTAATAGAATAATCACTGGACATCTGTTTTACACACGAAACGCTCCTTTAGATAAAAGAGTTCTAATTATATTATTGCTTTATAAAGAAACATCCCTTAAAGAATCATTAATTGATCACCCCTAGATAGAAATGTACATAGAGAAATAACTGATCACTTACTTCTATAGATAAAAATCTACATAGAGAAACAAAATGTCTGTAGAAATATCTCTAATCACTTGCATCTATACATTTGCCTCCAGTGGGTCAGTGGTAACTCTGCAGGCTTACAACGCTATAATTTGGGTTTCGATACCCGTGGTTGGCAGAGCACAGCTAACTCATTATGTAGCTTTGTACTTAACAACAGCCAAACTAGTCTATATATTTAAAATCGCCATAAAAAATATTGATCACTTACCTATACAAATTAAAAATCTTCCAATATTGATTATCTATCTCTATAGACTGAAAATCTCCACAGAAAAATATTGATCACTTACCTCTATTGATAAAAACCTCCATACAAGACTTTTGATGGCTTACTTCTATAGATAAAAAATATCCATAGAAAAACACTCCTCACTTAGCTCTATAGATAGAAATTTCCGTAGAGAAAACCCACTGGTTACTTAACTCTATATAAAAATGATCACTTACCTGTATAGAGAAAGCCTACATATGAACCACTGTATACTAAGATGTCTGTAGAAGTATCACAATCATTTACCTTTAAACAAAAATGTCAAAAGAAGAAGACTGGCTGATAGTTTGATTATCCATTGGCTAAAAGAACCACTGATCCCTTATCTCTAAGCAGAAAGAAAAAAACGTCAATAGAAAACCATTGATCACTTGTCTCTAGAAGAAAATGACTGTGGAACAACCAATGACCAATTATTATTACTTAATGTCTGTGGAACAACCAATGACCAATTACTATTACTTAATGTCTGTGGAACAACCAATGAACAATTATTATTACTTGATGTCTGTGGAACAACCAATGAACAATTATTATTACTTGCATTTATTGCAAAGCTTGTAAAACTATCTGTTGTCATCCATAATTTTGTACTACTGACCAGAAGAATGGCAGCTAGCATCATTAACATTCATCACCTACGCTAAGAGGTTGACTGTCACTCTTACAAAGCACACTCATCTTTAAGGGTTGAAAATAACTTATGGCATCGCACGGACTCAGATTCGGTTTGTCGGCTCCAAAATCCAGAGCTCTACCATACATAAATACGTTCATTAGAAAAGCCAGTACTTGTTTATTTCTAGTGGAAAATATCCGGGGGGAAACTATTGGTTTGTTTTGAATATCGCGCAAAACTAAACGAGAGCTATCTGCGCTATCTGCCCCTAATTTAGCAGTGAAAGACTAGAGGGAAGGCAGCTAGTCATCACCACCCACCGCCAACTCTTGGG